AAGGGGGTGAGGGGGTGTCCAGGGGGCACATGGGCTGTGGCTGTGCCAGGCCCCAGTGCTGGCCTGGGGGGCTCCTGGGAAAGGAAAAAAGTGATGTCAGGGGGAGGAGGGTCCTGGTAGGGTGGGAGCTGCCTGGACATCCCCTCACATGTGGCATTGGGTGTGCAGAGCAAATCACACCCCTGGTCCAGCACTGGTGGGGACTCACCTCCAGCCCCAGTGGCTCTATCCCCAAGTGCAGCAAAGAGAGCTGTTCCTAAATATACCCAAGCTTGTACCTCCATACCCATCATCCCATCCCAGCTGGCAGCCCAATCCCAACTCCCCTCTCTCCTCCTTGGAGACCTGGAAGTCGACCTGGGCTGAGGCTCTTACCATGAGAAGTTCTGGCACAGCAAGGGCTGGTGGCAGTGGGTGGGCTGCAGGGTATGGGCAGACAGAGGGGTGCAGCCATGGCCTTGTCTGCTCTGCGTGGCATCGCAGCATCCCCACCTCTGCCTGGAGCCGGGCCAGTTCCTGCGTGTGCCGCTGGGCTGCCTGTGAGCCTGGCCAACAGGATTTGGTCACCGTGGGCTTTACAGCAGCCATTTTCCTGGCACCTCACCAGGCCCGTGTTCAGGGCCCCATGAGACCAGGACTCTCCCTGCTCGCTGCAGAGAGTCCACCCCCAGCTGCAGCCCCCCTCCACCTGCCAATATTTCCAGGAGCCATCTCCAGCTCGGAGCTCTGATGCTGCAACCACAGAGGCAGCTGGGCGCTGTGGGGTGCAGATGAGGAACCCATCACCTACCAGCATCTGCTCTCCTCTCCCTTCTGACCTTCAGTGCCAACAGTTCATCTTCCAGACGCTGGTTCTCCAGCTCCACAGCCAGCAGTGCTGCATCCAGACCGTGAGTGCCAGTGCTGGGGGGCTCTGCTGGCACAGCCGGGGGTGCCTCAGCTGCTGCCTGAGGCCGCGGTCCCTGAGGGGGGACAGGCCTGGGCCTGGTGATGGCACTTACCCATCCGCCTGCCCCTGTGCAGCCCCGCCGTTCCTTTCTCCAGCACCGTGGCCTCCAGCTGGAGGTGGAGGAGCTGGTCCAGGATGGCCGGGTCGTGTCCCCCGGAGCGCAGGTAGGACACTCGCAGTGCCCTGCCGGAGCCCGGATCAGCCATTGCTCGGGCTCGGCTGGGCACTCCGCTCGGAGCCGCCATGGCCCACAGACCTCACCTGGCCTCAGCCGTCAGTGGCCCTGCGGGCGGCAGGAGGGTGTCGAGGTGGAGGGTGGCCCTGGGGAGGTGACAGACAGCTGGGGGTGAGGGAGGCTTGATGGAGAGCACCCCGCAGGGCCAGGGCTCTGTGCTGTGACCCCTCAGGCCAGGGCTCACCGGTGCTGTGCTGTTTGGACAGGTCCAGCCTGGTCCTGCAGGCCTTGGCTTGGCTCGGGCTCCCCCTGCTCAGCCCTGCTCCCCAGTGTCGCCAGCCGCCGGCACAGCCCTGAGGGACCGTGAGGGGCCGGAAGGCTCAGCACAGCCCCAACAGCCCCCCCACTCTCGGGGTTACTGCATCCCACACAAGTCTCCCCAGCACCCCAAAACCATTGCCGGGCCCTACCCTCTCTCTGCCGCTCCAGCTGCCGGGTCCTGGCCCTGATCTCGGCCACCTGGCGTTCGTGGGCTTCCAGCAGCTCCTGCGGCGGCTGCCGCTGTTCCTGCCGTGGGGGCGGCTGCCGGGGGGGCTCTCCCTGCGGCACACGGGGTTCAGCGGGAAGGAGGGGCTGGCCCGCAGCTCTGGGGCTGCCTGGCATTCAGGATTCACCGTACCTCCCCTGGCAGCCTCCTAGCGGTGGGGTTGGCCGTGCGGAGCAGGGCCCGCTCGCGGGGGGTCAGCACATCCCCCAGGGGAGCTTCCCGTGCCCGCCCTGGTCCCCGCGGAGCTGGTGGGACCCCACGAGGCACAAAGTGATGGCGTGGCTCAGCGTTGTCCGTATTTTGGGACACTCCGGTCTCGCAGGCAGAAAGGGAAGAAAAGGATGACACTCCCACCCTCCCCCAATTTCCCCCTCAATAATGTTCTTTTCTGGTTTCAGCAAAATAAGCACCAAGGGCTGCCTGTGTGGTGCAGGCATGGGAAGATGGAGGCCTACCCAGCTCAGACCGAGCTGGATCCTGGATGTCATTCCCAGTTTCCCAGCCCAGCACCCGTCCCCATCCCCATTCTGTGCCAGACCCAGCTGCACACTACCGACAAGTCCTGTGGTTTCCTTGCCGTGCTCTGTGCTCCCTCCACAGGCAGAGGGTTCCCCCCACGGAGGCAGGAGCTGCTGGGTGCCGTGGGCCCGAGGCACAGCTTCTCCATGTGCACCCGCAGCAGCGGTCGGGATCTGAACGCCAAGCGGCAGCGGGGGCAGAGGAAGGGCCCCATGTCCAACACCCTGGGAAGCAGAGCGGGTGGAGTCACTCGGGGAGGCCACCCTGACAGGCAGACGGGGTCGCCCCGCGGGGCTGGTACCCCGGGACAGGCTGGAAGTGTGCACAGACCTGCTGGTGGCCGTGGCTGCAGTGTTTGAAGCCACTGTTGCTACGCTGGACGCCGGAGGGCCCCGCCCCCAGCCCGGGACATTCCCACTGTTTACCACGGGCACTGGAATGGGGAAAAATATCGCTGAGGCACCAGAGCAATCCACAGAAAACAAGACGAGGGAGGCCTTGTTTCCCCGTGTCCCGCTGAGGTTACAAAGTGCTCACTGACAGCCATGCTTGCCCTGGTGCTGTCCAGCAGTGCCCCTTGCCCACCTTGCAGCAGCTCCCACTTAGCAGACTTTAAACTAAGGGAAACCTTCACAGAGAGGTGAAATAGCTTCTTCTGCCCTTTCTTGCCACAGGTGTACAGGCCCTGCTCTTTATCCCAAAAAGGCTCCCTGTATTCCATCCTTGCACCCACCTCAGCTCTGCCTGGCAAGTCCCTGCCAGCTTTTCCCCTCACCTCACTGCCAGTGGTACTCAGTATTCGCTCAGGAAAAAGCTGCCATTTGATGGACGGGGACTTGCCCTGCCAGGCTCACCCGGGGACTGTCACTGCCACCTCCAAAGTTTCATTGATGTTTAAACCCTGCACAGCCCACAGGAGGGTCGGGTGAAGCACAAGGAGCTCCTGGCTCACACAGGCCAGGCCGGTTCCACTCCAGAGGGCTCAGCAATCAAATTCCCCCAGTCCAAGTGTATGTCAGCATGGATCTCATGTGAAGGGGTTTTTACATTTACCCCATTTCTTGAGATCAGAGCACACAGATCTGCATAACTTGGTTTAAATGGATATAGGAAGTTAAACTTTAAAAAATGGACAGGCTCTTCCAGACAAAAGCAGTGGTTGAATATTCAAAAGGAACAAGATGGTTTGTGCAAAATCGTACAGGAGCCCCAGCACCTCCCAAACACTCCCAGGCAGCCTCAGCCCCTGGACCCTGGTTTCCAGAGCACAGGGATGAAGAAATGCTCCACTGCCCCTCTCCTCTGGGGTTCACTGCAGAGCCAGCAGGAACTGGAAGCACAGATAGCAGAGTTACACCCGATAATGCTGAGCATGCGCCCTTGGATCCAGATGCAAAGAGTCAGGACTAAACATTATCATTTTCTTACACCTCTGTCCTCTCTGCCTGGCCAGGAATGGGTTAAGAACACACAGGCACAACCTTGGGACAAACCCCCTCAGATCAGCAAGACCAGGTTTTGTGTGACTCTGTCCAACCCCCCTGCAAACAATGCACAACCCTGGAGCACTTTCCAATCCAAAACCTTTGTGCACAAGCTGAACTTACACCAGACACTAAAATAGCTTAGGCCACAACTGAGTTGTTTGTAAAATTCTTTTTAATCTAATAGAAATGTTTTCATGAATTTTTAAAAAAGATTTCAATGAAAACAGCTTTGGATTCAGACATTCCCTTGCCACGTTGTGAACATAAACAGCAGCATTGCACTAGGAACAAGTGACACCGACCGGTTGAGCTTCACCATTTTGTATGAAGCGGAAAAAAAAGCAAACTGCTTTAGTAGAAGATAATTTTGAATTATATTCTTTAAAAAAAATCCCCAGATATGGACTGTCATCTCAGCATTGTTCTCCCTCTCCCTTCTTAAAGGAAGAGTTCAGCTCCTGCAGTCTGAGCACTACAGCAATGTTTGCCAAGTGGAAAAATAGAGCGGGAGAAGAAACTGTTTATCCCCAGTGCTACTGAACCCCCAAAGTTGCAGGTCTCTTAGAGGAAAGCTTCTCTTACATAAGAAAGACAATTAGAATTGGCAAACTGATGCAAAATATTTATTCCAAGTTAGTTATTTTTGATGCAGTAGTTTTTCCCCCTCATACAGACTCAATGTGATAGTCACTTTTTAAAATCTGTAAATAATGTTATCAAAATAATCTTAATCTTTGAAATCTCACAAAAAATTTATATTTTACAATCCACCCTGAATATCAAGGCTGCAAGAAGAAGAACACAAACAATTCCTATATCCAAATATTTTACAGCTGTACCCAAAAAAAAAAAAAAAAGAAAACCACAAACGCCTGGTTAAGTGATGAAGCTCCCCGAGCCGCCAAAAAAAAAAAAATAAAATAAAATATTCATGTTATTAGCATTAATTTAACATAATTAGAACTTCAAAAGCCATTTTGTCATCGACAATGATTGTTTTAGCACACCGTTACCGCGCGCTGGGCAAGGCGGCGGCACTGTTAGAAGCTTGTTGTTGCAGAGATCAGTCAGCCACTTGTGTCCTGCTCACACGACTGAACTTGTGCACTGCCCCACAAGGGATTTTTGTCAAAATTTGCTAGCTGCACAAACTTCTAGTAAGCATTAGGGCAAAACCAAAAGAAAAAGCTAAAGAAGCCAATTTCTCTCTTCTTTGGGATACAATTATTTCCCTTGTGCATGAAGTATCAACAACAAAAGAAAAAACTGAACAGACTGGAGACAGAATAAACTCTGTTTAGTTTATACAACCCCAAACACGTGTTGAACTATGAACTGAGTTTATTGGGTTGGTTTTATTTATTTTAATTTTATTGTGCCCAGTTTCAGGCATCGTCATCTGACGTTTCGCTGCTACTTGTTTCTGTGTCTGAGTCCTCAATCTTTGTCTTAAAAGTGCTTCCCCAGTGGAACAACAGGCTGGAGCCGCGGCCCTGCAGAAATCCGTTCTTCCCAAATCCGTTTCTTCTTCGCTGTAGGAATGAAAGGAAGTTTTAAAACGAGCAGAAGTGTGGAGAGCAACTGTCACCAACCCTCTGTGGTGGACATGAATGCCACATTTAACTGTGTGTACACACATGGATAATGCAGAATCATCCATTCTACTACATTCTCCCTTAAATGCTTGATCCTGCTGAGCACGCTTAAGAACAAGCCCTTGAGAAAGGAGAGGAAGAAGAGCAGTCACAAGTAGCAAGAGCTGTAAACATACCTGCTCTGATTTAATCTGGAACTCTTTGAGCTCATCCTCCGTGAGGGGAAGGTAGTTTTCATCATTTTCAGGATATTCCTGCCATCCCATTTCTTTCAATAACCTGATTGTGGAGAAAATAAAAGGGGCATGGGAACTAAAGCAAGGGAACAATGGCAAAGGAAGGAACACTTTGTCCATGAAAAGCAAGGTTTTGTAGTAAATCACTCCAAATTCACCAGGGAATCTTCTCTATCACAGACCACTTCAACATTCCTTTGTGTTTACCCACCATTTTTCAATGTCCTTTACAAATATTTAACCATCAGCAGCACTGTACAATGGGTACATAACCAGCCTGGTGGAAGGCAGGGATTTGAAATTCTAACTCAAGGACACTGAAGAAGGACATGAGGCAACCAAGCCAATATCACAGCTCAGAATCTCCTGAACCTTACTATCTGCTTGCACCAGATGCTCACACTGCTTACTCACTGACGTGAGATACGGCCTGAGATACCAGGTAAATATTTTCCTAACTCTCCTCCACTTTTACAGCATATAAAGGAGCACAGGAGTATTCTAAGTGCAAACAAAGTGTGGTGTGTGTCTTCAAATCATTACATTTAGGACATCTGCTTGCAAATTAACCAGAATCACCCTTGGTTCATGCTGACTCCCACTGTGGGCAGATAAATATCTCCAGGCAGCATTAACACATGGGGATGTGGCATTAAAGAAGCATTGGAATTTAATTACAGACCTTGGTAAAGCCTTGGCTCATCTGTCATTGGTGTCTTGTTTTACTTTCAATAAGGCCCCACCCAGTCCAGTACTAGTCACAAAGCCCATACACCTCCTTCCCTGTATAAACACAGCTACTGCTGCTTCCCAAAAATAGAGTTTTCCTCAAAATTGTTTCCTTCTCCCCACACAGCCCAAGGATTCACCCTCCCTTACTCCAGACACTATTCTGCCATTGACTCACCTGTGTTCTGCTTCCAATGAATGGGAGAGGTTTTCCCCCTCCTCTGGCAAAGGGAGAGAAAGGCCATTCTGATGGCAGTTCTCTTCCCAGTTTTCCTTTGGTTCTGGTGTGCTGTTGCTCTCCATCTAAAGAAAAATAAAACCATCAAAGTGTGCTTGCACAGACCGTGCCAACAGCACAGTTCCAAGTTCAAGCTTCTGCCTTTGAAAGTCCAGCCAAGCCTTTCACCTTGAGCCAGTGTTTTTCACAGAAGCTGCAGCAACATGTACCTGGCTGTGACAGGACAACACAGGACGAAGGACATTTGGTGGCCTGTGCTGCTGTGCCAAGGGAGTGAGTGCTGGCATTGCAAAGCCATCACCAGCAGCTCAGAGTGACAGCAATAAAAATGAGAATTAAATGCTCCCAAGGACACACATTACATACACATTAAAGCACAGATCTATACATTTGGGGGTCTGGTCTGAGCCTCTGAAACTTGAGCCACATTCCTGCACCTTTCACAAGCACAAAATTCTACTTTTCTGTGAACGTAGTTTGACAGGGAAGTTGGAAAGCAACTTGAGATGTTAAAATATGATACTGTTCCTCTCCTTACAGAATCCTTGCAAAAAATCTAGATTGCCTTCAATGTCTGTGACCTTCCCTTCCACCTCATTTATTACCTATCCACTTGCATTTCACTGTGCTACACATCTCCCCCCATCGCTGCTGTGCACTATTTCCCCTGGCAGGTATGCCAGACCAGTGGGAGTCATTCCCTTCCTCTTCCAGAGCCTGAATTACATGCACTGCTCAGGGCTTTTTCAGCCCCAACTCCTTCAACAGTAATGACGGTATACACAGCAAGGACAGTGATCTTACATCATCCAGCTTGTCACATTCCCTGTTTTCTGTTATCTCCCCATTTCTATCATCCTTCAGTGCCTTCAGGAATTCGCTCTTTTTGTCAGTGGTCCGGCGCATCAGCTTCGTCAGGCGTGAGGAGCAGATCTCGATGGGAGGGGTGGTGCTGGAAGGACTCTGCACAGGGAGGGAGAACACAGACATCAAACTGCACTGCTGCCAACCTGAGGCCCCTTCAGAGGCTGTGCTTCCACCTTTCAAACACTCATCAGTTCCTTGGGTGGCTCTTAACCCCTCAAAAAGCCCCAACCTACTGTCAAATTCCCATCAAAATACCAATGGATGTTGCACATTCACTTCTCCCATGTATTATTATCAACTCAATTTCTTTTCTTCCCCTAGGAGTCAATTCACATGGCCATGAATATGTTTATTTTGTTCCTTTGTAATGTAACTCTCTCGAGCAAGCTGGTGCCTACAACAGACTATTAGGGCAAAAAACTTCATGCAGAATTCCTGCCCTACAAAAATTAACAAATGAAGCTGATCAGACTCAGTTCATATTTGCGTTTTAAGTCATCCTGACAGACTCTACCCTGAAATTAAGCTATGGGAGGTAATCTCCTTTCAGGGAGTGGTCACATCCTTAACTAACCACAGCTGGGTGCGGAACAGGCAGCCACAGCCTTGGAATCCTCCCCTGGAGAGAATGCTGCCAGCTGCTGCCTCTGTGCACTCAGCCCAGATGGTTCAGTGTGGAGCCAGACACAGACAGCCCTGGAGCCTGTGGGAAACCTGCTCAGCTCAGTGCAGGAACACAAGGAAACCTCCTGGGCTCTTCCACAATGTTCAAGCTTTCTTAATCATCTGTGAACCAGGCCCACTGGCAGTATCTGGCCATGATCCTGCAATAGAAGCGCTGCTAACTAAGGTGAGCTTTCAATTTTATCTGTTCCATGTTTTGACTGGGCACACAAAAGGAACCTAAGAACATGTTATGGGAAAGTTCCCAGTATCTTAACTTCCTGCTGGAGTTCATGTCTGGCTACTCTAAAACAATGAGGAATTTAATCATTATTATGGGTAACTGACACCGGAATCTTACATGCAAAACTACTTTTTCTTCATGTACATGCTTTGATTTTTAAGAAATCAAGATTAAACCAGTAAAATTTCCTCAAGTTTGCAGTGTTTTTCTCCCCACACACTTTTTTTTAAGCTGCGGGGGAAGGTTGCAAATTCAGGCTCTTCAAAATGAATCTCCTGTGCCAAAAATTGTTATCACACTCACTGCTCTGAGCAAAGATCAAGGGAACTAGACCAAAAACAAGGCAGCAACTGCTGCTTGTATTTCCAATGGCTGCTGCATGTGAAACACTGGTGTGAAATAATGCCTGCAAGGAAGTAAGTGCAGCCTGGAAGTAATTTCTCAGGCAGACCTTCCAGATTTTGTCTAATTCAACACAGTGAGAAACAAATCAGTAGTTGTAACAGAGCTAATGAGTGTCTGTAACTATCATGATAAAAAGCCAACACAAGAGTAAAATTAAGCTCTCAATGTAACTATTAGTTTGACTGCAGTGACAGAAGGTAACAATGAACAAAGGAGACTAAAATTACATGTCTTCTGGTAATCTGAAATACTCAACTTGAACTCTTTGCTAGTGGCTGTTTTAATCTCTAATAAACTACTGAGGTACTAAAACTTAATTTCTACACATCACGGGAAGACAATTACAGCTCAAGTTTGGAAACAACAGATTTCTGAAAGGGAATGAATTTCACCTCAATTCTGGTTTTATGCATAACTTTTTGTAGAAGGGCTATGTTTTACAAAATATTCTTCTTTAGCACTAAAATAGTAAACTGGCATCTCTTCTAAAGTAAGCTGAGCCCTTTGACTGAAACACAAGGCATCTTAGTCTTTTTGCTTTTTTTTGTGTGTGTTTGGGTTTTTATGAAGGAGAGCACTAAACATCACCTCAGATTTGTTCTGATGTCTATGTAACACAGATGGCTACTCTTCCAGAAAAGTAATCCTGAATTCATTTTAAGAACTCAGGCTGTATTGTGAACTTGGTTGTCTTAGACTGGCTTGTAAGGGACAGGGCCAGTGTTACTTGGCATCCTTTTAGTTTTCAACACACTGTGGCCTCTTATGAATAAAGGTGCTATTTTTACCACTTCTGAAGGAGATGCATTTGCCCCCTTTCAGAAACAAAAAGCCAGAGACTAAGTGTAATAGTCCTGGACAACCAGGATTGCAGTACTATCTGCTGGCCACAGACCTGTGTTTTCATAATCTCAATCTCCAACAGATTCAAAGAAAAATGTATTGCAAGTATCCAATTTAGTTGGAAGTAATTTTTAAGCCCTTTATGTCTAGCTCTCAGGTTGGTACCCAACATTTTCACTGACTGGAGCTTCACAGAAGACCCTCTTGGGGGCAGGTGAAGGAAACACTTGCATTACTCCTGTATGATACAAAGTGAACACCTCTCTCCTGTCTGCTGAGGTGAAAGCCTGTTGAAGTTTACATATTGACACTGTCCATACTGTGCTGTGCATTACACAAAAGGAAAGCTGTCAGCAGCACAAAGAACTTGATCTACAGACAGAGAAAAGCAAGGTAAGGGAAAGAAACAGAGTGTAAGATCTATCTGTCAAAGTGACAGGTGCCTGTGTATTAACTGTTGCCTTTACTGACTGCTTGTACACTCAGCTCTGGCTAAGGCAGAAAAGTGCAGGTTGCTGCAAAGTAAAGCCTGCAAAGCAGAGAATCATAAACATGACAAGGCCTTATTTTAGAAGTAATGCCTATAACAGAACAAGACAAGTGCACAACTAGAAAAATCCCCAATTTCTACAGTTAAAACAAGCTAATTTCAGATGTTGTGAATCATCATTTACAGAATCACAAAATCATTAAGGTTGGAAAAGACTTCCAAGATCATCAAGTCAAACCTGTAAAGAGCAGCTGCACTGGCCAGGAATTTACCACAGTCTATTTCCATATTTTTTCTTGTGCTCTGTCACAGATACTGCTGAAATATTAAGAGATTTGTATTTCAAGGTTCTTTCTATACTTCAGACCAAAACTAGGGGCAAATCAGCAGATTACCTCCTTCCAATGTCAAAATTAAAAAGAGATACTGTAGCTGAAAAGTCATATGTACACATGTTAAACTCCTTCAGCCCCCTCAGATCTGAGCACACGTGCTGTTGTTCAGAGAAAGGAAATTAGGCAGATCACCTTCCTTCCCCTTCCTTTCCTATACTGAAAAACATCATGGGAATCAATTTGCCTACCTATTCACATCAGTTCTTGGTGTCTGCACTCCCATAACACCAAGCTGACGCATGTCTTGTTACACAACACCACTTAAGGCATTAGTGCTTTTTTTTTACTGGAAGGAAATTCTAATACAGTTGAACAAACATCAATGGCTTCACAGATAGATAAACCCCATTTTTATTTCTTTTAGTGTATCACTGATGTGGCAGAATGTGCTAAGAATGTACAAGTGAGTCATCCCTCAAGGGTGCAAAGGTACGTACCACATGCAGAGAGGGCTTTATCATAAACTAGAGTTTATGCTCTAGCAGGTGATAGGTACAAAAGCTCCCAGCCTATCCCCAAGCCCAACCCTTACCTCTTTGGGAGAGGTGAGGACTGAGCCGCTTGCCAGTACCGCTGGTTTGGTTACAGACACTGGACTGGTAAAGGCAGAGTCACGGGTGGAGGACAGCGAGCCTGCTTTATGTTCACTTCTGTTGGCTTTCCATGGGCTTGGCTGTATTGAAGAGAACACAAAACACAGAGCAGTAAATGGTAAGGCATGAGAAGGGGCTGCTTGCAAGTATTGAAATAAATAAGCAACACTGTGTTGTCTGTTGTATGGATTTCCTTTTCTTGTTCCCTTTTCAACATCAGTCTCAACATGTTTATTTCAACACCCATTGTTTTTCCCCTGGCATCTTCTGTTTTCCCCAAATCACACACAATTCTGGTTCATGGGCACCACCCTTCAGTAAAACACCATTAAGTGCTCACAGAGAAAATCCAGCATTGCCCTTCATTAACTGGAATCACAACTGTGTAAAGCAATTCACCTTACAGCTACCCACAGATGTGAAATAAAAAAAAATCCCAATTAAAATGAAATTTCTTAGGAGGACACTGCACACCACAAAACAAGGCTTCCAATCACTTGACAGGAAGTTTCCCTGTGTGAAGATCATCATGCAGTAGTTTTGTTTAGAATGAGAATGAAAATTATTTATTTCCTAGGGCCCTGAAAGTGTCCATCATTGCACCGATTTAGCAACAACAACAAGATAAAGAACCAAAAGCAGCCAATTTATTACAGCACAGGATCACTTGCTGTTTTGGCCTGGATACTCTCTGCAGTATCCCTTTGAATATACTGGTCATTTGGCTGAAGAGCAAAGACTTCAAGATAAGTTTTTGTTACTTGGAATGTTGTTCTTGAAGCTTTCTTATCAGCCAGGGACAAACACAGTGAAGTGAGAGTCTCTACAAAAACAATCCTAAGAAGAAACTTGTACCAAATAGCACTAGCAAGACACTGTCAGAACATTAAAGCACACAGGTTCCTTTGACCCACTGGACTTATGAAGCCAGCTTCAAGTCACTTGTAAAATAATTCATGCACAAATGGGATTCAGCTAAATCTGATATGCAACAGATCTTGCAATCTGCCAGCAATGAGAACAGAGGCACTATTTCAGTATGTTGTCACTGTCTACTGCGTTCTATGAATTTTTAAAAAAATACATTGCATGGGGAGGCCATCAGCTTTACTTCTTCATTCTAACTTAAAAATGAGCATCCCACAGTATCAAATAGATTCTATAGCACTCACAGCACACATTAAAAACATCCCCTTCAAACCTCAGAAATCTCCTGATCTGCACAACATTTACTGCCTGTACTAAAATCAGGGTGCAATATGACTCTGACAAGAAGTTTCTCTCCACAGCTCCAGGGCTGCACTTTTCCATTCCCACTCTCAGCTGCCCAGTGCTGTTCTCCAGGTTTCCACAAAGGGGCAGCTCCCAGCTCAGACAGATCCACAGACTGACCCCTCTTGCTTTCCCTGCATGGCTGAGTGTGACCTTCATGGATAGCCTGACTGTGAGCTATTGTCCATCTCCATTAGCCAGAAAGAACACACTTGTTTCACTGCCATCAGTTCTCTTCCTTTCTGAACTACTTGGCACAACTTAACAAAATCATTTTTCATTCAGTTTTCCTGTGACAGCTTTCCAATACTGCTGACTTTGTGGAAAGGAATGTTTTGAGTCCTCTACTACTTCATGCACTGCAATTCCTGGATAACCTTCTAGGAGTCTTCAGGCTAATGCATCCTCCCACAGCTGCTTTAAGGCTGTGACTTTAAAAAGGCATCAATGCACACAGCTTTTCTGGCTAAGGATATGCTGATACCCCACCTTTGGGTTTTGCTAATGGTCACCATTCATTAACAAAAGCACTGTTGATGACATCAGATAATTCTTCCCACTGCAATCCTCACCACCTAGGAATATCACACTGCCCCAGTAATCACACCATCATGTCAGTGTAAAAACACTTAGAAATTAGTAGCTAAATCATTAAGTACATATTTATAGCCTGCTTAATGTGATTGATCTAAAAAAATAAATACCTTTTCCATTAGCCAAAGAACATTTCCTTTTTTATCAATACTACAATATTTCATGTATAAATCCAGGTGTAATTCAGGCCTACTGGATTCAGTGAAGTAAAAACTTAACTAAAAGGAACTTAGGCAGGTACCACTACATATTGCCATAATCTCTGATTTAAATACAGATTAACAATCTGGAATGCAAATGAACTATGTCACATGTAAAACAAGCTAAAAAGAAAAGCCCTACCACTATCTTTTGATGGATGCTGAACCTTCAGATCACAGTCAGTTTTATGCCAACTGTGAGCACTGAATAATGTATTCTTTTTATCTGAAGAATCAAAACCTACATAAGTCTAATTTCAGAACATGGTTAGCAAAAGCTTAGAGAGCAGCTCTCCTTGACTGAATTAATGAAAAACCTCTGTCCATGGGCTTCAGAATGCAACAGTAATTGCACAGCAAGCTGCAAGGAGCAACTGGCTGTGCAATTACTGTTGCACTTGTTGTAGCGTCTCCTAAAGCTGCTACATTAGCTAAGCAGATTTTTATGCCCAAATTCTACACTGTAATGCAGTGGGTATATCATGACCAGCAGTAACAACACACATTCCCATTATTTTCAGGAGTGCATTTTCATCTCTCAATCTCTACATTGGTACAGCATTAACTTTCAGACCTCAGAAATTATCTTTGCATCCAACAGCCAGTAACACAGACTGAATGCACTGTGGTTCACTAAAATTCTGTTTACTTTGAAGCCAGAGACAATCTAACAGTCTGGTCAGAAACTGTATCTCTGGCCTTTTGTTTCAAAGAACACACAAAACATCCAGACTAAACCCAGGTCAGGCTGTATCTGCACATGTATCAATCAAGCTGTAAAAGCAAAAACAAAAGCCACAGCAGGCTCCTTACTCATTAAAAGCTGCATTCTGTTTACCCACTCTAAACAAGAACATACATGCACTGAAAACTGTGTGTGGAATGAAAAACTCCTTATAAACACCCTTTCTAATGGGTCAATTAATCCCACCTTACCAAGAAGTAGATCAGGTGTCAAATTAAATGTTTAGACAGGATTATTTGATAATAATTTTAACCACTACAATTTTTTCTGTAGCTGGCAGAATTTAACCTGAATTAACAAAAATTTACAAAAGAGGAAGAAGATCTAAACTTGCTTTCTTACAAAAGGAAGCTGGGGGTCTCTTTTTTTGTTTTTATCTTTCAAGTGTGTTAAGAATTTTCTACTGTAATCACAGGGAAGATTTTGTTGGAATGTCGCAGCCAGCATTAGTAATTAATTAAAATTACATTTTAGAACTCAAAGTATTTGGACATCTCTTTAAAGAATAACCCAGCTAACTTTTTTTTTTAGCTTTTTAAATACTTTCACTATTAATTCTTCAAAATTTCTAATGCATCTATACATGTTGTTTCTCCAGAGAAATGGGCAAGACTAAGCCTAGAACTAAGGAAAAAAATTACTTGGTTTTTTTTTAGCATGACTGTATTTCCTTCAGTAAAAGAACTATAGCACAAACTCCATGGCTTTTCCAGATTGTTTTTAAGGCTCAACTAAATTACACCTGAATTGCAGGATGTTACAATCTAATCTGATCTTAGCCTCTATTGTTCTGGACACATCAAAGTATTGTAACCCAATAAAGATTTTTCAAGGTAGTCATGTGACCAGTTCAAGCACATAGCAGCACACATTCCATCTCCCCAGCAGTGCTCATTTTGTCTTATTAAGATAAGGATTTGTCTCATGCATGAGGACACACCCATTCAAACAGACAGCAGTGTAGTCAGAGGTTAGCTCTCCCTATGGACAAACCCCAAAGGCATTTTAACAGAGAACAACAACTTTAGTAGCAAATAGATCTCTACTGTAAAAGCCACTGCCCAGAAACTACTGGAATTCCAACTCCTGCTACTTGTTGGGGGGTTGATTCCTTTGATCTGCAGTTCACTAATTTGGTTGGAACCCTCTGTACCTTGGAAGGAGGAGCTGCAGGTTTAGGAACCAGATTTTTGTAGACACTTGGGACAATGGTGGTGGCTTTGTTGCCATTTGCCAGGTGAGAAACAGGTGATGTAAATGCAGCTGAGAAGGCGGCGGAAGGATCCTCTTTTGAAACCTTTTTGATGACCAGCATCTTGGTAGGTTGCTTGGCACTAGGGGGGTTTTCTGTAAAAACAGAACAAGAGACTCTGAAACACAAATATCCAGTTTCAGAACAGCTTCAGTACACTGGTTCAGTTCCTCCCTCTCCATCTTAGACACTGCACATCTGATTCTGAGACCATCAGCTGCTCTTTTGTTTCAGCTCTGAGAGAAGACACTGGATGTGGATTGCTAAACACAATCTTTTCTAATTCAAACACAACAGCTCCCTTGATGCTGAAAGGAAAAACCTACAGTGACATCAGTTAACAGCCTTGCACCATTCTACAGAAATCAGAACAGGTATGAGTATTTTTTTGAGCAACCATGGATCAGCTTCAGTTCACTAACACAGCAAAAATATTTACATAACCTATACCTCAAAAGACACACTGCTTTTACAAATCAGCACAGTTAATGCTTCTTAGGCCAAATAAACATATTTCCAGGAGCATAACAATTTAAAAAATACTAAGAGTATAAACAGATAAATGCCCTATAAATATGCTGTCATTAAGTTTTGAGCAGAACAACAGCTACCTGACAAACATGCAAAAAGAATACAACCCAACAGTATTGCAAGAAGTGTTTCTGAGTTTCTTTTGCATTTGTACTATTTACAGTATCTAATCCAACTAATCCAACTAGTTATTAACAAATCTGTGTTTAAGTGCTAGAACTGGTACCTTGTTTCACTTTTTTTTTAAAGGCATAGACTCACAGAGTACATCAGGATCAAAAGCAAGGCTGTTTTGAGTTTAAAAAAAAATCAGCTAAACACAAAGCACAGAGCTAGGACAGCTTTGCTGTATTTCCACTACGCAGATCCCAAGTCAGGAACTAATGTCTAGTTCACTCCAATCTGCTCTGCCCTTCAAGTGATGCCTGTGTGAAACTGTAACTGCAGCACCACAGGAAGCAAACACAGAACAGTGACACTACTGCCACTGGCTGTTTTTTTATGACAAGACAAGCACAGTTTCAAAGAGACAAAAAGGCCAAGACATTAGGGAAGATTGTGGGAGGAAAACAGCAAAGGACAGAAAGCAGCAAACTGTCTGCTCCACTTAAAATTTAAAAATATTTTTTCAGTGAAAAACCCAGCATTTAAACACCAGTTACAACTTTCTGCTCTGTCATCAGCTTTGTGTACAGTGACCTTTACCTACCCCATACTCCAGAAGGTGTCCCTAAAGGTTTGTTCTGGTTGTTCTGTCTTCCAGCTTCTGGATTCAAAGATGGCTGTAAAAAGACAATGTAAATGAATACATTGTTATATCACATATAACAAAAAAATAATCAGTATTAACATTTTGCTTCCAGGAACCCAGAGGATGGGTAGATTTCTCTGAACAGCAGCTGAAGTGGAAGAGAGTGCCTTGCCACAAGTCATCAGAAAATCGAGTTTGCCTTCTCCTTGGTTTCTGCTATATTTCCAATGGAACTACCAGAGGGTTCAGGATAACTCCTTTAGTCTTCTACTATAATTAACTAGATTCTACCAACCAGTACATGTATTAAAAAATTAGGTATTTGATCAGCAGCTCAAAAAATAAAATAGAATCCACATCATTAGTAAATGAAGAATCTATCCTAATTTCATAAATATTTTAATACAATAATTATGCATGAGCCAATTTAAAAAAAAAACACCCTAAAGCAATACTAGATTCACAGTGTAAAGGAATATACTTACTAACAAAAAAAAAGCTACATTTAAATTTGTATGAAACCTCAGAGTGCACTTTTTAGGACAAGAGTGCATGCAGACTCAGTGCTCTCTGCACACTTACATGAGATTGAGTTTCACAATTCAGCTTGGTGGAACAACTATAGACATGTCCAAGCTCAAAGCAGAGTGAAGAAAATCTAAGCACTCAATGACAAGTGTTCTTGATTAGCTATTCCTCTTTCCCTGTCCCAAATAACCTCAGTTCAAAATACAGCCATCTTTTTCCTCTTTTTAATGAATTCCTCACATGTCAGTTACTATGGTGACAGCATAACTCTGTAATAGTGAGCATCTGAAATAGTAGGTACTTCTGTTCTGTAAAAGTAAGGAAAAAATGTCACACCATAGCATAAATTCCTGCCCCAGTCTCCAGAAACTCCTCTGTTTAAGTGCTTCAGTTTTTAGCTACAGGTCAGTTTTACTGCAGGGGTGCTCACACTTAGACAAACAGCCTGCCTTGCAGACCTCTCAGGAAAAGTGTTGTCAGGCCTAGCAGCTACACACTTAACCACAGCATACATCAGTTTCACCCTATGGCAGAGACAGTACAGAGTTACTAAACAAAGCTTGCTGCTAGCCAGTGTGTGGTATTATCATCTGAAAAATGAGAGAAGTAATTAGAGAAGAAACAGCCATGTAGCTGGGGAGGGCACTCATCAAGGCACTGAAGAGGAGAATGAAGTACATGGAAGAAAGATTTAGACCAAGACAGACAACATGAGATTGCACAGTTGCAATCATTGCAATATTTCTATATTTCAACAGACTTCTGACAGTCAAAAAACAGGCTTATAGAAAGCCTGAATTACAATATTCTTGAGAAATCAGCTAGTAGAAATCCACACACAAGCTTTATTCCCACTCTCCAGCTGTTAACCACTCTGTGATGCAGGCTCTTGCTCCAAGCAGCAGCAGCTGAACAGGAGCATGCAATCACTTCCCAGGCCCTTCACTGAAAAAAACCCCAGCAGCTTCAATCAAACTACCTCCTGTGGCAATTTAAGTGTAGGCTCTGGATTTTGGCCTGAAGCAGCTGTGGGTATTCAAGAATTTCACTCTGACTCGTAAATTCCTGAGCAGAAGCCATCAAACTGCCACAGCAATTTTAGCTGTGAACAGCCTTCCAGACACAAATGCTGAATAAGACAGCAAAAATCTCATCATGATGATGCACACAAGTGTGCACAGTATCACCAGAACCTCTCATGACAGGAGGCAGGAAAGGCTTTAGCACTGAAGATGAAGACAGAACTGCATTAGGGGAAGGCACAGAGTTACCAGAACCTTACAGAGGATATTCTCATTACACTGGTCAAGAAGAGCCTAGAGACAGCAAGAAATAGATGCAGAAAGAAAAACACATGGTCTGATAATATAACACTCTTCAGGGGTCAGAAGAAATAGAATTAAATTGAAAAGAGAAAGCAGAAAAGGTGCACATCTCTCAAAGCATTAGCATTAAGGAAGGCACATGGTAAGGACGAAAGCTGTAAATTGAAGTACTGTTTGATAAAGTTTGAAAGACTAAAGATATTCCAGTAAAAATAGAGCCAGGATGTAAGAGACTATCATACTGATAATACCACATGAATCAAAATGCTGAATAAGAAGAAAGTTGGTCATGTGGAGATGCTGATGGAAGAAATGGCTCAAGAAACCCTGATTCACAGATTAACAGAGAGAGAGGAAAACATCTTTGATAATACTGTTCCAGAAGATTCAAGGCAGATGGTGGCTAAAGCCTGAGCATGTCATGAACAAGCTTGGGAAGGTTATCACAAACACCAACACGTATCAGAGTGAAGGAGACAGGAAGACTGAAGCAGGCAGACTGAAGATAAACTGAACAGATGAATTTCTAGGAGGAAAAAAAAAGGCTTTGTAAGCAAAGCCAAAAAGTCAATACAACTGCTCTTCCTCTGTCACCTTACGGGTTTCACTGAGGACTTGGTTTGAATGTTACAATGCCTTCAGTTCACAATAACCATTTGGCAAAACATATGAGCCAAACCCCATAATCCAACAGGTCTTGAAGTCCTGAGGGCTCTGGATACCCATCAGCATCCTATCAGTGCCGGAATAATTTTGTTAAATTTGTCATGTACGGAATGCAATTCTAGATCCTCACCACCTATCAATGCTAATGCAAACGAGATCTGAAAAGCCATTTCTCACACCTTCCACTTCTAGTGAGAAGCTACACACTTACAAAGTCTTCCTCCTCAAACTGCAAATGCTCTTTATCTTCCTTCTTCTCTTCCCTGGATTCAACAGGCAGCTTTTCTTGAAAGGCGGAGCTTTTCCGAGAATGGAAGTTGCCATTCCAGTGACGATGAACTCCAGTTCCTCCTCCTCCACGCTGGCTCACACCATCATGGCCCCGTGAGGGACCATGCCAGCCAGGCTGGCTGCCAGACAGCCCAACATGAGCTCCTTTAGAAACACCAGAATCTACAGAATCATGGCGGAGAAGGGACGGCTGATGCCAGCAGTCTGAACAAAAAGAGATAAGGATGAAAATTAAAAAAATCAACACAGTGTGCAGAATACTGGAAATATCAGGTTGTTTTTCTTGTTGTTCAGCCAGTGCTCACTAAGGAACTGCTGAGCTGAACTTATTAAGTACTGTGTGATTATATCAGAAAACAAATCACCCTACACAATGCACATACAAGCTACTATGAAAACCTATTAAGGCCTGAGCACATTGCAGAGGAGAAGAGAATAACACAACTTCCTCACAGGATGCTTTGAAAAGGTACAGTTTCGGAAAATGTTTCTATTCCGCTGAATTCCTAATTCTGTAGAATATTTCAAACCGGCTGCTCTCAGGCTGCACTCTGATCCTTACTCACCTCCCGCAGTCCGGAGGGGCCCATTATTGAAAAATCCATCGGAAGAGTTGTGTCTCCTGCGGCTCACGCCAAAGCGGCCCTCTCCCCGTGGAAGATGCTCTCCATGTTTCTCAAAGGTGGCTGCAGGGGACTGCAGAAAGCAAACATGTAATGAAGCACTCATTTGGACTCTCCAGGAGCCTGTCAGCCCAGCAGTGACATTTGGCTAAGTGAAAAAACCACCAACCCCCACATTCCTGTATCAGTTTTCAATACAGCATCCATAACTGCATTGATCAGGCAGCAACATCAAGGAGCCTGAATGGGATCAGAACAGCTCACAAATCCACCAGTCTCACACAGAATCACAGAGAAACCAACACACTGATCTTACCCATGGCCACAGCTGTGAAAGGAGCTGATCTGTATTAATGTTACCTTGGTTGACTGTGGTGTTGAGAAGTTAAGCCAGGCAGGAACAAAGTCATGCTGCGCCATTTAGGTCCAGTGTCTCCCTTCAATAAAATGAGGCATCAAACCTCATGGCCAGGCTCTGTAAATGAGAAGAATTCCCTGTCATCTTATTCAAACTGAAATAATAATACAATTTATCTCTCAATGTTTGGCCCATATGGATAGGAGGGGTAAAGTGCTGAAGTTTTTTGTATTATACTTGATAATTTTTCTTCTCCTGCTTTGTTCCTCCGACTGAAACAAGTAAGAACTTCAACAGTCCCAGTTACTTCCTGTTTACAATTAACACACCCATGAGGTTCATGACAGAATGGGTGTGGAGGGGGAAGAAAACAGAACCAATGGCAAAGCAAAGCCATACAAGGCAGATGTAAAAATCAAGACGTGACAGAATTTGGGGTACAATCCTTCATTGCCTCACAGTCTGCGTGTTTTATTCCAGAGGCTGTAAATCAAATATGACCAACTGGTGATGTTAAGAGACATTCAAAGCAGATCAGAGACCTGAAAGACAACCATATGCCAGCTCCTGCACCCCTATGTTCTTTCCAATGTATCATAGCAATTGTTACTGCACAAAATGATGAACATTTCACTATTGCACCGTATAGCTGAATTCCACCTTTTTTTGTGGAAGATTCTCCAATTCACCATTTTGCTTTACTTTTCAACTTTAATTTACCTAGAAGCAAGTCAACACAGTATAAGTAAAGTAGTAAATACATATGATCACTCACCCTGAGTTTGGCCTCTGCAGTCCAATGTCCTCAGTCTGTGTGCTTCAGTGACCTCTGGGTTCCTTCCTTGTGCAGAGCTCTGGAAGGCCAGCCTTGAGGCAATAGTGCGTCTCGAAGCAGAGCACGAGAGGCCGCACTTCGTGCCAACTGCGCCCTTCACCCCCTCAGCTGCTCATTTTACCCTCTCTTTGCACTCTCACTACAAAAAAAAGATACCTAAGAAGGTAATTTATATTTAAAAAAGCCACGCCCACGTTCACCTCATTAAATTTCCTCTGGTCGTGGTAGTAGAGAAATCAGCCTTTACATTACCAAAAGGTTTGTCAAGTGTGCGTGACAACATTCAGAGCAACATTGTGGTTAATACTGAACAGATACACTCGAGGCTGCTGGACAGCTCATGATCTGCAGCAGATCAATCTAAACACTCTGGAAAAAAGATGTTACATAAAAATGTTTGCCCTAAATGCCGAGATCTAAATAAGATGCATCTGCCCAAGTGCTCTTAAAATATAAATTTCATTTTTATCATGTACATCTGCTAAAAAAAGGTAAAATATTTAAAAAATGAATGTTAGGATATACTCTAGTCTTCACGTAACTTGGCTAATGCTCCACAGAGCTAAGCACTACTTGATATAAAGCTCAGAAGCAGGCACAAATGTTCTCCCTGTTTTTCACCATTTACATGCTGAAACATAGATCATATGAACAAAAAAAAGCCAGGTCCAAAAATAATCTCTTCTACTCTATTTTTTGTAGACTGGGTGCTGCTTTTAAAGGGACACAATTAATCCACAAGAGCTTCTTGTTCTACAGTGAAGAGTTCACTTCTGGGTCATAGTCCTCTTCCATCAAAGAGGTGAGACAGGAACTGTAGTCACTGTAAAAAACCAAACACAACTCCATCAATACAAGTGGCATAAACACGACAAAGTTTGACTAAAGAGAAGAACAGAAAGGGAAATTGAGCAACTATAGTGTGAGTGCCAACAGCTATTTGATCTCCAATCAAAACAAAACCTGAAATAATCTAATTAAAAAAGAGTCCCTGAAAAGGGCATTTTTACTTTTAAATGATCACTTCCCAGATTTAGTCCACAAAAGGGCAACAAAAACAATCAGAATAAAGGGAAGACTGGAGAAACTGCATGCAGCTGACGAAAGCGATTCCACACTTCATAGCAATTTTAAAACCTGCTACTCAAATAATGAGACTTGGGGCTGCAGGTAGGCCTGGCCATTCCAAATGCCCACAATCTCATCTCTACATGCCCACATCATTCCTAATCTGCTCCAGTACAGCCAGAGTCCCCTCTCAAGAGGATGATGTCAGTAATAAAAATGGTATTCCATTAACTTTTCCATGGAAAACAGCACCATCAACACCAAAACCCGAGTTACGTTGCTACATTTTTTCTTGAACCATCCTACCTAACCAGAAGCAAATACATAGTTTAGTGATCCTAAAACAACTGACAAGTTTTAGTACTGTTTTGATGCCATCAGCTGTTTCATAGGATGCCTTTAGGTGTGCCTTATTATGCTTTTATATTTGACTTATCCGAGTTTGTTTTCTTTGTTTGGATATGGTTCCATTCATTGACCAGTTTTGGTTTTCACTGTGTATGTTATGTCATTCTTTACTTTTAAAATAAGTTTTAAAGGTGATTTTGATCAAGGCTCAAAATAAACACACCCTGGGGTACAGTAAAATAATCACCACCTTATATCTTCTGGGTCACACCTTTAATAAGCCCCTTCATTTTTATGGGGTTTTTTTGTTGGTTTTTTTTTTTTTCCTGGAAGTAGATGTTACTGTTGTAGAGAGGAGTTTGGAGAGATGGAAACACTTCTGCACCTAAGCTCTGAGCTACAATCACATTTCTGCAGCCAAAGTAAGAACAAGCAGCCTCACAACACATACAAACCACCAGCCAAGATGAGGAAAAAGCTGAGTGCTCATGGCCACACACAGTACTGACCTGGGAACTTTGCGAGCACCCCACCCTGTGCTACAATCTACTGAGCGTCACACACTGCAAACAACTCAAGTTCTAATCTATAGAAATGTAGTTTTATATTAAAGTGTGCATAATGGAACATCTGCTACAGACAGAACAGACTTCCCATCCTGCTGAACTCTGTACAGGTACAGAACTCCTCCAGATGTGACCTTCTAAGTCTACTACCAAAGGTCTGAGCAGTAAGTAGAAGATAAAACAGGGACAAAGTCAATGCAGTTGACTGTATTTAAACAAGATTCATTACCTTCTGAATAAATATGCTTTTCAGAACAAACTGTATAGCAATTAAGCTATGTCAAGCTATTGCTAGAAGTTAAAAAATTTAAGAAATTGATTTAATGAACCTTGAGAATGGTTCACAGCAATGTGAAAAATGGACCTAAAGAAAGCCCACAGAGAACTGTTCTCTGGATTTCAGGTATCTAAATAAATGAACACCACAGAACTGCAGTTTTGAAATAAGAACGAGGTCTGAGCACAAAATAAAAATTAAAACACCACAGGTTCCATTTACCAAAATGGTTCCCAGGATCTTTGGAAAAGGCAAGGAAAAACCATATCAACAGTTTGTGGTGCTGTGAGTCTTCCCTTTATATTTCAGCACAATCAAAGTGAAGGTGAAGCATTTTTTAAAACTCCAACCACCAATTTATAGATGATCTTGAAGAGATTTGGGTCTCCTGAGCTGCCATTCTGACATCACTGTTAGTATGAGTGGCAGTTCCTTATCAGGCAGCCCAGGACAATGCCCAGACCTGACTCCAGAATTCAGCAGGGACATGCACAACTCTTCAGTCATCGCCTTCCTGGGCATGCCCCAGCACAAAGAGAACAAAGGATGCCACATTTAAATGCAAGACATTTTGCTAAAGCAAAACCCTTGTTAGATGAAGTGCTGTAAATTATAGTTCACTGAAACCCTTTGGTCTCCAGGATCAGCCCACGTGCCCCCTTCTCACACACACTCTGAGTCCTGTCCAGCAGCAGCACATCTGCAACCTGCCTGAGACACCTCCATAACCTACCACTCTACTGACAACAACATCAAAATTCCTAATGGGAAAGACCCAAAGTCTCTCCATTACCCTCTCTGTAATAAATTCTTGAGGAAAAAAGTGCAAGACCAAGAACAAACTGCATCAGGACTCCCAGGATTCTTAGACTTTTAAGCCAGAGTCTGTATTACCATTTAATACCAGAGTTCTATGCAAATCTGCTCAGTTGCTTTGCTTTCAGGCACATTTATACATTTTTGCCTCCAAAATGGGAGCGGGCACAGTTTATTTGTGCTTTATGTAGAAGTCAACTTGGAATTCTTAAAAAAAAAACAGCCTCAATTCAACTGGGTATTTTCTTGTGTTACCCAAGTGCCCAACCACATTCTATTCAGTTGTTCATGATACTCAGGATTTTACCCAAGGTACATGGACTCATCAAGTCATGCCTCTTCCAAACTAAGAGTGTCCATGGAAGCCCTCTGAATGCCTCTAATCATCCTTATTTGCCTTTACCCTATTCTTTAGGTATATCACCACCAAAAACAGCATCAAACGTTCATGATTTGGGAGTATGACAGTGGCAAAACTGTGTATTCCTAATATCTAACACAGTTATTTTTCCCCTATTGCTACACAGAACTGAAATGACCTTTGACAAGTACTCAGTTCTTCTATTACTGCATTTACAGTTCAATCGAACTGATCTCTGCTTCACTATGGAAAACACAAGGACAAAGATCAGCAGCAGACACTCCCAGTTCCAGAAAAAAGCAAATAAAAGTGCTTGTCAATGCAAATCTAATTAATTCTTGCTTTCCTTTTAAATGAATTAAAATGTGAATTATTTCTGGTAATAAGAATCAGAAAAAGAGAAAAGAATAGTAATATCACTAAATGAAATGTTCTCTAAAGGTATATCTCCTTTCAGAACAATGAAATCTGCTTTAATGAGCTTTGGTGTAGAAAAAAAAACCTGTCAGCTATCCCAAAATATTATTTCACCCATCAAAATGGATAAGTCTTTGGTAAGTAATCTAAGTATGAAAAAGAATTAAACTCTGTATTAGCACCTGGGTTCCACTTATTTTTAAAGGTTCACTAGAACTGTTAACAATTTATATTATCACTTTTTACATGTAACATTAAAAATGCCTTAACTGCTACTTCATAGCCACCTATTTTCTTAAGTTTTTGTTGTTCCAAAAGTATTTTTCCCCTTGTTAAATGTCTAAGTTTCACAACTAAATATCACTGTGTCATTTTACATGCAAGTAAAAGTGATATTTATCACTGAGTCAAACAAAATTGTCAGGTGTTCTTTTATATACCAGATTTTATAGTGTATTTGTCTAAACAAGTATGAAAACAGAAGGAATATACAACCACATTGAATTTAAAGAGACAAAGACCACAGTAAGGAACATGTACAGTCAGAGACAAACCCCCACTCTCCAATATCCCCTCCATAAAGTTCCTGTGTACCTCAGCTGAATGGAGCTGCCTGGTTGTTTTCAGCCTTCTGCTTACTTTCATTTCTGCTCCTGACACAGACTTGATCAGACAATCTCTAAACCAGTTTCTAAAGCTCTGAGTGCCAAGCTGAGCTTTGCAGATACACCTGGCAGTGGGAACCAAGGAGGAGCTCAATATGGAAAGACCTACACTGACCAGAACACGAGGCTAGAGAGAGGAGCTCCATATAATCAGAGCCAATGAGCTACGGCAGTTTGCACTGGAAACACATCAAGACACTTCAGAAGCCCAAAGAAACAGAACAGATGGGCCTTAGCAGTGGTGCATTTTTCCTATTTCTTCCTCTCCCATCTCCTGCCCAGGCCTCCAAGGCTGTAAGAACACAAGGAGCAGCAGCGTCCCCTGAGCTCCAGGTGCCTGCTGTGCCCTGTGCTGCTCCAGCCCTCTCTGGGAATACCTGGAACTCAGGCTTCCAACCTTTGTCCACATCACTGCAGGCCCCATTTCTGGAATGGACACATTTCACTGGGTGCTTTTTCTGCTTCACAGTACCCTGCAAACAGCCCCAGCTCCCCTCAGCACTGCTGTCTACCAGGAATCCTATTAACTGCAGCCTCTACTTCAGTTTCTCCTTTCCTGCAACAGCAAATCATGAAGATGCAGGGATAGGCTTTCAAGAACCTTTAGCAGAAAACCAGCATAAAAGTAAACTTTTACCCTTCATTACACATTTATCAATCCAGTTAATAGCAGCTGTAAAAGGTCAGAAGGGCAACACCTGTCTATCCCTGCCACAGTTTTAGTTCACTGCACTTCTATCTATTACTCTAAATAAAACATGTTTACTTTAAAGAAGTAAAAATTTGTTTTTCTAACCAGCCAAGTCAATGGGGATTTCAGTAATATTCCTAAAGATCAGATGTCAGCTGGGTTGCAAAAGCATTCAGAAGCATTAGTGAACAATTTAATGGATGCAGAAGGCAGAACAGAATTTACTTCCCTCATCAGTTTTCTTTCTGTGAAGCTCTTTTAAAGTTATTTAATCCAGCAGATATGCCCAAACATTCAAAACAGACCACCTTCCACTTAGCTACTTTTTGGAGTAGTGTCACTGACTAGGTGTATGTTGCTTTAAAATAAGGAATTACTACAATATGTACTCACTAAAATATCTCTTTCTAATAACCTCCAATTCACCCAATACATTCACAGAAATAGGGAGCCACAGCCTGGGGTCCAACACTGGAAGAGTAAGAAGTATGCTACAGATTTCCTTAAGGATAACAAAAATCCTCACATAAATTTCACTACCCTGAAAAAAACCCAAACAGAACATGGCTTGGTCTTACATAAACATTTTATTGAGATAATCATATTTGGGCACA